TCTAAATCTATTTACCTAGACCTTTTATTAGGGTAAAAGGACGTTGGTGGGGAACCTGCTCAATTTGGTCGCCAAGCGAACACAACAGATAAGCTCCAGGTCACTGTGTAAACTGGTTACCGCTGAACGTTTCGATTGATTGTTTCTATTAATTTCCAACTAGAAATGCTAAAATTGATAGTCTAAATCATTTCGTGACACATTTGCTATTCGTCACATACCACATGACTAAAATGAGAAGGACCAGATACGCTGCGAGATTAAGATTTGACAAAGAACACGTTCCTTCCAATCAATCACCTCAAAAAATTCACTGATATCCAGGTAAACAATCTTACAAGTGTAACTCAACTCTGTTTGTTTCTTAAAACTACCTTTCCTGGATAATTATCTTCTCAATTGAGTGCGCCAAACGTTAAAGCCGGCTCTGAGCCGCACATTTCCAGCTGCTCAACTTCCACTTATTCCCTCTATCAGTGCAGTGGCTTCGAACAAACTTAAACATGGTCGACAATCTAGTTCTGTTTCACACTAAGTGGTAATTCACCTTTATGGGCAAGGCATGCTCGCAACTTTGAACTCTTGTCACCCCAAAATCAAATTTACCGTAGAACTCGAAAATGAGATCTGCTTTCAAGTAATGAATGTTAAACTCACGAGTAGCAAACGTTGATCTCTCATGGCATCTCAAACCAACTTGGGCCAAACATCAGCCGAAATTCAGAATCTTCTGTCCAATGCAACTTAATGGAACCCTTTCAAAGAGTTTATTTTCTATAGCTGCGAAAATTTCTTGTACTGACAAACTCGAAGCCAATCTTGAATTGATATCCTGTGCACTGCAGGATAATGGACATCCGCGGAATTTCATTACCAGCTAGGAGAAACGACGTAACCAATAAAAGAGTGCTCATGACATTCATAGATGATCAGAATGAGAAACCAACACAACGTCTTTTGAAACTCGCTCTTTCAAGAACACACTGCGTTTCTTCTTATTCTCCATAAACTCAGACATATTATTACTGAGTCCAACGTGAAAAGGCTGAACTCTGAATTTGCTTTGTGATATATTTACTTATTTCAATGCACTTGCAGTAGCAAGAAGAAATTCGAGATATTTGATCACTAGGATTTCTGAAGATATCCCCGAGAAGTGATTCGATGAAAGTATCATTCACTGAACCGTAAAATTTACACCGATCCGAAGCACGCGCTCCGGGTGTTATGCTAATAGACGAAGCTGAAGCCTTAGCTAGTTGGTGTCGCAAACCAAAACGCCTCTCGGTTATCAGTGCTATTGGAGAAACCCAAAAGTATTTTGATCGTGGCCTTGAAAACATCGGTTAAGGTTTGACTGTCCGAGATCCTTCGAGAACTTGCAACTGAAACTTCCCATGCGCAACAATGGCACAGGACATCATGGAACAAATTACCGCAGACAGGACGACTAGAGCTAAATGTGCTCTTAACCGAGTGGTCAGTAGTACGTGAATACACTAGGACCTCCAGGTTCAGATTTTGTCTTTTTGCTGAATATAACACCGTTTTAGTCCAAAGTTCAATAAACGGCACTGCTAACCCACGTAAACTAATGAAAAAGGTGGCAGTCTTTCATCCTTGGTTGTGACTTTGTTTTCGGTAATTATTATTTTTTGCCAATTTGTTAAGAGAAGGCTGACGCATACACACAACCACGATTAGTAGTCGCTGTGACTTCAATGCACGGCGCAATTAGGAGCTCCTCTCGAGTTTTGATCAGGCTTTTTCATCAAGTTTGGCAAGTTAGGTTAATATAAGTCGGCGAACAACTAATAATGATCGAAGAATTGTTTTCGGGATTCTTTCGTCTGGGTGGGCCATTCTTAGTCTTTGTTCCAATTCCGATANCAAACACGTGTGATTTGTCTGTTTTGATTGATAGCCGGTCCACAATTCCAACCACAACGCATGACTTTAATGATCCTTCTTCACCTCTACCTTGAGCATGGCACAAATGAACATTACATTGCGTGTACCAAATTTTTAAACATAGGTTTCCCTATTGTTAACNNNGTTAACCGTTCCCGAGCCACACTCCAAAATGTAGTGAGTGATTTGCATAGTTAATTATACCAAAAACGTCAACCAGTTCTAATTCTGAGTGTGATTCACTAGACTGTTATATCACACAGTTAGAATACATAGGTGAACCAACTAAATAGACTGCGAAATAATTTTCGGCCACGAATCATCAAACTTTCAACCTTTCGTCTGCCATTATCGTTGCACGATGGCAACTTGAACGGTCACATGAACGCCCCTTGAACGGCTGCGCTACAATTTGTCGCCACCGTTGCGTTCTCGAATTTATCTACCCAGATTGCTAAATATGCGTGCTTTACCATATACACGAAAGAATTCATGTTAAAAATTAAGGATGGTTTTATGAAAAACTATATTGCCATGTTTGGAATGCCAGTTGCTACTCAAGAGCACAAATACTGCAAATGCGGAAAACGCATTCGTGCCGGTTGGCAAACTTCCCTTGGTCGTACTACTCCTGGCAAGAGGACTGTACCTACCATTGTGAGTAACAATGTCCGTTCAGTATTTGGGAAGCTTCCGGACTTATCCTACCTGTTCCAGAGAAAGGAATTTCGCACCTCTTGTGTCTTGTGTCTTCAGGAGTCATGGCTCAATGAGGGTGTGGACGATTCCGTGGTCCAGCTGGATAATTTCGTCTGCTTCAGACAGGATAGATACCGGTGAAGGAAGAAGTTGACTTTAAACACATCCCCTGCACCCATTACTGTATCTAAACCTCAGTGACCTGATTGTTGAACCAACTAGTGGAAACTGTCATCTAGACCACATAAACACAAACCCCGCTGACACATTTTCCATCAAACAGTTCTCCCCTTTACACACCATTGACCACAACCTGATACTGGCCAGACCTGAGATTTACTCACACTCAGGACATTTTTCTTTTACTCGACCCAAACATATCATGTTCCGTCAGCGAGATTGTTCCCCAGACAATATTGCCTTACTTAGAGAGTCTCTTAAGGTAGTTACTGACTGTGTTCATTTAACCACAACCTGCTTGTCCAATATAACATTTCGAACAGAAGTGATAAACTGTACTTTGACATCCGCTGTACTGTGATAACTTTGTTCCTTCAACATGGAAGAATATCAACACCTGTTCTTAAATGTCTTCGCCGAGAAGGAGAACCGAAATGCGACGATTATCTTTTCTGATTCAGGGTGAAATAAGACGGTTGGAAGCCCTTTATGCGGGTCAGTTTTTGGGACGAGCAACTATAAATCTATGTGGCGTGAAATTAATCTACTCTGTGCACAGATGAAAGTGATTTCCAGTCCCTCTATTGATATTGAAAAACTGAATGCTGTATTTGTTCATTCCGATAAATACCCCAGTTATGTTCATTCCAGTTCTTCAAACAATCAACCTTCCTTTCATCCCTTCACCTCCAGTTAGATGTATAAACACGTGTTCTCTCAAGGTGTCCACCGCACCTGGTCCAGACAACTTAAGTCCTACCCTTCGTAAAACACGGTGCTCTGCCACTGTCTCAGATTTTCGCACACAGCTGATCATTCGCTCGAACTCCGAATTACTCCGGAGTGCTGGCGCCCAGTGCGAATTAGTCCAATCCCCAAATGAACGTCAGAGGGCCCAATAGCGAAGCGTTTCAGACCAATTTCTCTCACTTCTACTGGTTTGAAAATGGTGGACCGATCAGTTCTGCACCGTCATCAGTTATCCCTTACCACCCCCAATCACACTTAGTAGTTTGCATACAAACATAACCGCTCGATGTTAGATGTCCTTTCTTCTCTAGTTCATTTAATCTCTAAGTCCCTAAACGAGAAAGCCAAATATGTGCATTGTGCATTTCTTGACTATTCTTCGGCTTTCGACTC